CGATCTTAGATATGTGAACTCAAAGGTGTGCTAATATGCATTGTAACTATAATATATTTATACATGTTGAGTTCACATAAATACAAAGCACTGTAGAGTGTGATAGCGAATCATTTCAGCGGCCCATAAGAACAATCGAGATAATTATATTTCTCGCGTTCAAAAGAATTATAGACATAATTGGAAGGGTAAACACCAACTTCTACTGGTATGTAAGTACCTGGCGTTCAAGTAAAAACAAAAAATCGCAAACATTTAGCATTCCGATAGAAGTTCTGAAATATTTCATTTGTCAATGTGAAAAAATCGCTTTGACGTAGGTGGAAGCAAGATGTAGGCAAATATCTCTGTACATACAATAAAAAGAAATTGCGCACGTACTTAACAATACACTCTCAATACCGACTAACATACCGCCATATTGTTTGCCAACAAAAACTGGTTGACCCGTGTAGCCTCCTACTGTGGAATTTAAGTAATTATTAAGAATTGGTTATGATTTCAAAAATAGACAATATAGTGCCTCTAGTTGACATACACAATTACGCATAAATACACACAAACATGAAGACTTTTACATATTTTTACATCATTCATTGACCATTATTCTATTCTACCCCAAAAAAAGTGTCGCAGCCCGAAACGCATATTTATTTACTATGGCGGCCAGTCGGCAGATTGTCAGCCAACCCGAATTCTATAAATAGAACTAGTTATGTACTAATGTTCAATCGGTGTGAATATACATTTCATACTGTCTATATCACCAAAAAAAATTGTAAAAAAATTTATTTATTTCTAGTAAGATAACAAGAGGAGAGATAATTAAGCGTCTCACACTATTATAGTACTTAGTAGTCTACAGCAGTGGGCTTTGCTTAGGGATAGTACACGCGCAACTATGGCCAACGGCGGTGTGTTTGAACTAGATCTCGACGATGGTGATTCCGTGTCGATTGATAGTATGTCCGAGGATGAGGCCGACTTCATGGACTCTCCAAATCTGCCAGTATGTTGTTTCTGCTATGGATTCTATCACTAAGGTGATGAACTTTGAGTATTATGTTCAATTCACCATTTTTTTTGTTGAATCTACCATCTTATAAGTATATTATGTATTCTTCTAGTAAGATGCTTACACAACAATCTGTTGTTTATCTACGAAATCGGTGTGTAGAGCGTTGTGTTAGCGTATCAGAAGTTTTTATCGCTGGAGTGGTTGTACTCACCTGCGACAAACAGTAATATGTATCATGATACTCAAAATGTAGTTTCAGTGCTTAGTCAAAGCAACATTAAGTGCAGTAATGAACTATATGTATTCAGTAGCAAGCCGGAATTACAAATGAGTTGTTAAAAATCGGGTGCTTCCTATTTTTACCGCAGTATTTCAGTCTCCGTACTTTGAGTACTGTGTCTCTTTGATCTACCATTCCACTTGTACGTAGTATGTCAGGAAGTGATAAGTTATCATATGAACACTCTGGTTGCTTGCGTTACTGCCTCTGATACCTTCGTGATGGTGATTCTTGTTTCCAATTTAGCTCAACTACTCCAACGGAATATATTTTTCTAGGACAGCACTATGAATGTATACTAGATCGTACAACAGTTTTGGGTCAAGTTACGTTACGCGCCTGATTAGAAATCAAACGAATAACACGCTTTCCAGTCTATAAGATACCGTGTTGCTGATTCCTGAGTATCCGTCGAATATGAAATCCGAGATCAAATTGGAATTTCCATGACAGTATTGCTTCACACATACACACACACACATTC